GGAGGCAATGCTATTCGAATGCCAGATATGTATTGCCTCCCGATCGCCACAGTGCTTCGGTTCCGGGGAGTCCGAGGTTTTGTGGTGCGGGTGCAGCCCAGTAGCTCGTATGACGCATGCCGATAAGACAGATGGATATTTGTACATATGTACCGCCTGGGATTCCGAATCCAATGACGATTCCTCATCAACCCGCTGATAAAAAACCCAGCGCTGGTGTCACTTTTTGGTCAAGTAACCAAGTCATTCAAGGAATTGACCCGCATGTGTTGTTTACGAAAGTCCAAGCACTCACACACTCACGCCCGTTTTGACATCGCATATATATTTATCTGTATGTACATAAGTATATATGCAAAATCGGGTATCGGGAACAGCGATTATTATTGAGGGCACGGCTTTGGCTTTGGTTTTGGGGCTTACCAATGCAATTTGTGATACTGTCGCTGTGCTCCAGCTGTTTGCAATGAAAAACTTTAAGTTCTCGGGCCTTTATTGGTGCATTTTATGCGCGCGTGCGCTTTTTATTGGGCATTTAGTGTTTCCTTTCGCTAAAATGCAGGGGCACCGTTGCTACGGTGAGCAAAAGGGGTCATAGTTCACTCGAACGCGATTTGTTTTTCGCACTTTTCTAACACGCCGAAACCGCACGATTCGTCCAAGCTCTCAAGCACATTACAATTTGATAGTTTATTGGCCAAAATTCCAATTTTGCTAGCACTAAAATATACAACTACAATTTGGGTCTGCTTCTTCCTTCTTTCTAAAGGTGGCCGTGCAAAACTACAGCTGCAGTCGATATTAATCGATAGGCAGTAGTGTAATCGATGGCTGTCGGTGAAATATCAACAGCACGAACACATGTTAATTTGTTTTTGGCAGTCTATAGATTAAATTTAGTTGTTTACCAAGGTCTGCTTGGTCTTTTTAATTCATGATCGTAGGCGTGTGATGAAAAGGGTTGCTGAAATGGACCAACTAACGTATCAAACAGCTGTTAAGAAGGGTAAATCAGCGTTATACAAGACCTTTGTGGTAAAAAATAACATCTACTTTTTGCAGCCCAACTGGTCGAGAGGAATCCCCAATTGCAGTTGGATCCCATGCGCGTTTCTATGCACCAGGAGGAGGACATCATAGCGTTGGCCCAACAGATCCAAAATGCAGACAAACAGTTGAAAAACACTACCTGCCATAAGCTGGGGGTTATAATGGAGCAGGTTGGTCCATCACCCTCTTTAACTTTACTTAGAATACTAATATTACTTTAATAGATCAAGATGCTTCAGGCCCAGGCCATGGATATACTGAAGGAGTCGAGTCTTAACCAGGAATTGCACAGTGCGGCCTGCAACTTCACCAAAAAACCCGGGCAAATATACCACCTTTATCAAAGGGCATCGGGTCAAAACTATTTCAGCATGCTGTCACCGGAAGTACGTTTTCTTATTAAAAATCTTTGGAAAAAACATTCTAATATATTATATTAGTATATTGTAGGAATGGAATCTATCAGTTGACCAGACATTTAAAGGCAGCTATAGGTTGGAATTCGATTTGAGCTGGACCCCAGTGGATAAGATTAAGGAGCAGGATGAGAAACTCAAGTGGGCAGAGCAATGTATGCAAAAGGCTCTGGAAAGTGGACGCGGTTCGGCTATGGCCATTGACTTTAATATAAATAATGATTAAGATAATAGAAATTTAATGAGTAATTGGTATGTATTTTTCGAGTTTTTTAATAACCAAATATTACGATATTTGCCAGACGATAAAACACTATCATTTTAAACAAGAATTATTAAAAAAAAATTTGATATATATTTCTTAAATAAATTAAAATGATAAAAGCGGTCGATTATTTCCAATCGATAAGACAAGTGCATCTCGGTGTCTATCGATAGCTGCAGTACGATTTCTGTTTCTGTTTTGCTTTCAGTGCAACAGCTGAGAGCTCTCTTTTTTGTGAAATTGTGCATATTTTTAGTTTGTTTTGTTTCGTTTAGCGTTTCGTTCCGACACGCAACATGTCCGCGCCCAAGAACGAGATGTACTACAGCCTGTTGGAGTGGTTCAAGACCCTCAATCTGAATGCTCCGCACGCAGATGCGGAATCCCTTGCCGACGGAGTGGCTCTGGCCCAGGCCCTGAATCAATTCGCCCCCGAATCCTTCACGGACGCCTGGCTGTCCAAGATCAAGGCCAGTGCCGTGGGCAGCAACTGGCGGCTGCGGATGAGCAACCTTAAGAAGGTGACGCAGTCGGTGTATGACTACTACAGCGAAGTGCTCAACCTCTCCCTGAGTGATTTCTCCAAGCCGGATCTGCAGAGGATTGCCGAGAAATGCGACCTGGGCGAACTGGAGCGCCTGCTGCAGCTGGTTCTCGGGTGCGCCGTCAACTGTGCCAAGAAGCAGTCCTACATTACGGAGATCATGTGTCTGGAGGAGGAGCTGCAGGCAAACATCATGCGCGCTCTACAGGAGTTGGAGACCACAAGGCAAGCGTCCTCGCCGGAGGGCGGTGTGGTCAGCTCCCTGTCGCGGAGCTCCCTCAGCGGAATTCTGGACACCAAGGCCGTGCAGGAGGAGCGCGACGCCATGGCCCAGAAATGCTTTGAGACCGAGAAGAAAATGCTGCTGCTTATCGACGAGAAAACGAACCTTCAACAGGAGTTGCAGAAGCTGCAACAGGAGTTTGCCCGCCTGGAGCAACACTCCACGGTGATTGGAGATGATGGTGTCTCTTTGGGACCAGTCCAAGCCGGGTCTGTGCGCTACAATGAGCTGCGCCGCCAGTTGGACCTACTAAAGGAGGAGCTGCTGCAGTCCGAAGGAGCCCGCGAAGACCTGAAACTCAAGGCCCAACAACAGGATACAGATCTGCTTCATATGCAAATGCGCATCGAGGAATTGATGGTACGGATTCCAATAATCAATAAGTTATAGTCCTATAGATCATCCTATATTTTCATGAATATGCAACATATTTCAAATTAAAATAATGTAAATAACATTTGTTACCAACAGAAAAGCTCTGCTGAGGTAATCACTCTCAAGGACGAGGTCGATGTTCTAAGGGAATCTAATGACAAACTCAAGATTTGTGAGGCGCAGCTTGACACGTACAAAAAGAAGCTGGAAGACTATAACGACCTGAAAAAGCAGGTGAAGATCCTGGAGGAGCGCAGCGCCGACTATGTACAACAAAATGCGCAGTTTGAGGAGGATGCCAAACGATATGCCAATACTAAAGGTCAGGTGGAATTGTTCAAGAAGGAGATCCAAGACCTTCATGCCAAGCTAGACGCCGAGAGCAGCAAGAACGTTAAACTCGAGTTTGACAACAAGAATCTGGAGGGCAAGAACCTAGCCCTGCAGCGGGCCAAGGACAGCCTGCTCAAGGAGCGCGATAATCTTCGCGAGACCGTCGACGAGCTGAAGTGCGGACAACTGTCCTCCAACTCGGCGCTGACAGGCACCACCGTTTCCCGGGAATTGCAGCCGTCTGCAACTGTGGAAAAACTACAGCGTCTCGAGGCGGAGAACAAGGCGCTGCGCGAGGGGCAGGGTGGCCAGACAGCTTTGGCGGTGAGTCATGTCAGATATTTTAGTTGGTAACATTATATTAACATGCATTGTATTGTAGCAACTTCTGGACGATGCCAACAAGCGCTGCGAAAATTTGCGTGAGCAGCTTAAGACGGCCAATGAACGTATTCTTTCCCTATCGCATGCCTCCCAAAGCGATGATCCCATTTTGAAAGAGTAAGTTTAAATCACTGTTTAAATCTCTTTAGTTCGATTTCTAAACATAATCCACTGCATTCTGAATGTTCTCATTTATTAATTTCATTCACTTATTAGTTCGCATTTTATATCATGATCTATTTCTCGTAAACCTTTCCTTTATCACAGGAGCGAGTTTGGCAAACAAATTAAGCAGCTGATGGAGCTAAATGAGCAGAAGAGTGAGTCATGATTAATTCCTATACGAAAAAACAAAAGCCTATATTATTTTCATACACATAGCTCTTCAACTGGAGGAAGCCGTGACCCAGAGCACGTCTCTGCAATGTAAGGTGACTCAGCTGGAAACTAATTTATCAGCACGTGAGCAAGAAATTCTGGTGTATGACGCCAAATACCGAAAATGCGTGGAGAAGGCCAAGGAGGTGATCAAGAGCATAGACCCGCGAATTGCCAGTGGTGAGTTATTCAACACACTATATGGACAAAAACCTAATTGTTTATACTTTAGCACTAGATGCTAGTGTGCTGGAAAAGAGTGCTGATCTTGTCGAGGAGGAACCGAAGCCTAAGATGAGTGTGATGGAGGAGCAGCTGATGACCTCAGCCTTCTACAGGCTGGGTGTTAATGCCCAACGCGATGCAATCGACTCAAAGCTGGCCATCCTAATGGGCTCGGGCCAGACCTTCCTTGCCCGCCAGCGGCAGTCGGCACCTCGCAAATCCCTAAGTGCAATGAAATCAAAGTAGAAAGCATGAACCTGATGAGTAGACTAAGTATCTTTCTTGTTTGAAAATTTATATAAATAATATATATAATACAAGTATTTATTGGACCTCCGCATGGATCTATATCGTATTTATAGGATATACCTTAATAAAATAACTTAAATATTCAAAGGTAAATTACTATCACTTATTTTTTTGTTTTTAGTGCAACCATAACTTAACTTCTTTCCCCAAGAGAAACCATTGCATTGTTTTGTAAATATTTTAGCTTTTAGTATTGAATTAAATACATTTAACGCAGAGTTGAGGGCGAAAACAAATGCACACATAAATGAAGGGGTCGCTCCACGTGGCTCTGGAACCCATCTTGTAGAGAGTCTCTTGGGCATTGGCACAGGTAGGAAATGCAATTCGGAAAGGAGCAGGAGCTACACAGACGAGCGGTAATAACAGTAGGTATCATCCTTTACTTGGCGATCAGTTGGGGTTGCGAACCGCCGGCTGCCGGCTGGATCTCGCTCAACTAACTGGTGCAGTCTACATACTTGGTACATAGGATCTCTGACCCACCGGTTCACCAGGGTCGCCACATGCTCTCATCCTGTCCAGCAGCTGCTGCCGCTGCAGCCGCCGCCGCCTGGGCCATGTAATGGTACTCCTCCTCCTGGCGTTGTCTTAAGGCCTGACGAGCTGCGTTGCTCGTCTGCGGGCGCGGACTGGTCACCGGAGCCTCGTTCTCATTCGAACCGATGCCACTCTCGGATCTGGGCGAGGATTGCTGCGTGGCGGGCATGGACTTGTGTTCCGACACAGAGACGCCGGAACTGACAGAGGCTGCCACAGAGGCGGGTCTCTCCTGGTGAACGGATGGCGTTCCCGCTCCGGAAGTGGCCATGGCGGAAACGTTGACACCGGCGGATGCGGCCACCGCCATGCTGTTGGCATAGGCTGCAGCCGCTGCGGCAGCCACATGAGCCGCCTCCAAGCCTCCAGGGAAATTGGGACTCAACTTGCCGGCCAAGTGGGGCTGAACCCTTTGCAACTCAATCAGCCGCTCGAAGTCCGTGCGAGTGGCTATCGGATCCACCAGGGGCTGGGCACTCAGGCCAAGGGCCGCCGCCAGTTGGACGTAGTGGGGCGGCAGGACCAGGACACCGTTGGCGGAGTCGGGTTGCTGCTGCACCTGCGCCTTCAGCTGCTGCTTGTACTGCTCCAGGACATTGGCGCACACCTTGTTGCGATCCTCTTCGTAGCTCAACTCGCTGGGAACGGCTGCATCCTGCGGCGAGGGCTGACTTTGTGCCTGGCCCTGCACCTGAATCGGAATCGGAGTCTGCGCCTGCGCCTGAAGTCCACGATTGTTGTTTTCATCCTGAGGCGCCGGCGTGGGAGGTTGGGTCCTCTGCTCCATTGCCACCAACTTCAGGCCTTTGCTGTAGTCCAGCGGATTCGAGTCCTGACTGCTGTAGTCCAGCGAATGTTCCTCCGGCTGCGACTTCTTCGCGTGGTTCAGGTCAAAGCAGCTGCTGCTGCTGGGACTCTCCGCAAAGGTGGCCGTCGAGTGGGGACAGATCTCCACGTCGATCTCGGCGATGCACTGGTCCAAATGTCGCAGGAGTCGCGCCTTAGAGCCAGGCTCTGCCAAAGTGGGCATGGTGCCCAGGGGCGGCGGCTCCGGGGTGGCCAGGTAACGAGCCACCTCGCGAGCACAGTCCGTGTAACCCGCTCGGTATTTGTTGACCGCTGCAAGAAAGAAAAGATTCAAATATTACTACCTAAGTTTGATTTTAAGCATATCCGCTCAGTAAATGTTAAAAAATGTAAAATTTTCTAGGGAATTAAGATAGGCTCTTGATTCTCTAAGCAAGTTATCATATCAATATTCTTTGATGAATTCTGTAAAACAAGTAATACAGCTTTGGGCGATACATAAAGGGACAATATATAATTAGGAGAAGGAGGAATATTTATTTTCGCTCACAATAATTATAATTATTACAAAAAATACTAAAAGAAATATCGTCATATTAAGAATGCTGGCTTAAGAGTAAATCGTTCTTGAAATAAATAACACGAGCCCAGTTCGTACCTGTTTCCCTTTTAAACCTAACGTTTTTTCTCTGAGTGTAGATTTTTATTATTTTAATCTTTTTATTCTCTTTTAATTATCATTGCTGACAAGAGCTACAAAATGTTGGACTAGGGATGTCTACATCCCGTAAACATCCCGAATATTAACCTTTCCTTACAATATTCCTATAATAATTCGGGTTTGAATTGTTTTCACAGACTCCGCATTATAATTTTATTCACAGAATATTTTATTTGGTGTAAATATTTTTAAAGACGTAGTTTTATATAATAAAATGCAGAACCAATTAAACCTAAATCCTTAAAACAACTTGGGGATAAAAGGATGTTCCCTAATCCTGGATTATACTCACTGGGATCATCGAGATTGCGATGCCGCTGGAAGTGACGGACGGTCAGTTCCAGGATGTCCGCCTTCTCCAGCTTGGTGTGCTTCGCCTGGCCCTCGCCGTTCTTGGCATTCTGGCTCTTGGTGGACTCGAGGATGAGGGCCTTCAGGATGGCCAGGCTCTGGTTGATGCGCGCCCGCCGACGCTTCTCCATGAGTGGTTTGTTTGTCCGCTTGCTGATGTCCTGCGACGAGGTCACATTCTGCGTGGAGCTGACCAGCCCGATGGATTTTATGCCGCTGCCATTGGTTGAGCCGGCGGCGGTGAATCCGATGCCTGGTCGAAGTATAAGTAGGGTAAATTTAATTAATAACTTGTAATCCAGGTGATTTTCCTAAGACAGCGGTGCGATAGATTTTAGTAAGTTGCTGTAATTGGTTTATTTAGTTTAGGTTTTGGAATATTTTGAAATTTTCTTTGTATTGCATTAAATTTGACTCATGGGAGTCCAACATTTTAGTTGGTAAATTGAATAAGGCCTTTAACTTGGTTAATTAATGAACGTGCTGGGGAATATATGAAAATGTTTTTAAAATTTATTATCGGCTGGAAATAATTTCTCCTCACATTTCTGTTGGTGGTTGATTAAATAATAATAACACTTATTCATGCTTTTCAAAAGAAGTGAACCAAAATGTTGTAATATTTGAGCACTGCTTAATAATGAAATTATACACATATTGGCCACAGGTGTCCTTTTTTTGCAGAAACAGTGTTTTCCACTTTGTTTAACAGTCATATAATATAATATAGTGAGTCATTGACTGGTTGATTGACACGTGATATATTGTTCAATCACTGATAGATAGAATATCCATACTTCTAGTTTAATTTTTGTAACTGTTCAAATAAATCTTTATTTATTCACTATTTTTAATTCACTTTAGAAAATTAATTCTTTCGTACAGAAAATGTTTTTCAACTGTTTAAAGTTCAAATTTTTAAACTTATTTCTTCAGTGAATAGAACTTTGTATTTTACCAGGTGCTGATTTATTTTTCGAGTAATCCTTATCACGTTTTGCTGTCATTTTCTCATTTTTACGAAATCCAAAAGAAATCGTTGCCCGTTAGTTAGAAAAAAATCGTTCTCCTTTTTTGATTTTATTTTAAATAATTTCTAATTGTTTAGCTTTAGAGTCCGCGCCAACAATTACGTCTTTTGGTGGTTGATAAAACGAAGAATTCCGCTCGACAAGGACACACGTCCGCACTGTTCGAGGATGCACGGCGAACTGAAGGCAAGGACCAAAAACAATTGCGACTTTTTACTTCGTCGCTTGTCGGCTGTCGTCTGACTGGCAACTGGGCTTTTCCGATTTTCCGCTGCCGCGTGCGCTTGGTTTGTGCAAAATTTCCCGACTGAAATGCTTGGTTAGCTCATGTTGCTGCCGTTGGTGTTGCTGCTGTTGGTGTTGCTGTTGCTGCTGCTGATGTTGCTGCTGGCAGTGGCACGAGCCGTCGTCGTCGTCGTCGTGTGGCGCAGCAACCAAAGCAGATTGGAGTCAACCGACAATAAAATCAACAACAACAACAGCAGCAACAGCAACAGCAATCAGCAGGAGCGGCAGCAGCAACAAAGCCTGTGGATGTGGATGTGGATGTGGCAGCAACAGCAACAGCAACGCCTGGCTGACTGCCACGTTAATGGTGGTTGTGGTAATGGTTGCCCCACCGACCTCCACACACACAAGCACACACACACACATTTGGCGAAGAGCTTAACGACGCAGCGCAGGCATGTTGCCAGTGGGCGGTGGGTGGTTGGGTGGTTGGGCGGAGGGATTGGTGGCGCGCTGGCTGCGGCAAATGTCAGGCAGCCCAAGCGACAAGCCGGATCGACGTGCCGCCACTTGGACGGACGGCGTGACCATGTCTGGCTTTCACACACACACACATCCGTACTCAGTCATAGACACAGGAACCCACACACAGGCATACAAATCAATTCGCTTAGGCGCAAATAGGAAATCACCCAGCAGACATGGCGGATGAGTGTTGTTTGGGCAGCGAATGCAGAGCATACTTTTGAGGGCAACATTTTGAACTAAGCATGCAGTCTTACTCATCTGTGTTTTATAACAGCCAGTAATAAACCTATAGTTTATTATTATTTATTTATTATAATTATTATTTATACCACGGGGTAGGAGGCACTTTTTTTGAGGGCTACCCTACTTTTTGATTTAAAAGAAAGCATCTTATAAACCGTGATTTTAATAGGAACACTGAAAAAACAATTGATAAGATTTAATGATCATATTGATGAAATTTTGTATCAAATAAATTGCTGTCTCGGTTTTAGACTTTCTCTTTCTTTTCTCTCCTTTCGATTTTAAAGAAATCCAAAAAACAGAAAATCAAAGAAATACAATTTGTAAATATAAAATTTACATTATTTCATTGTGAAAATTATACTTTATATATTTACTAGGGGAATATTAAATTGATATTTATATTTGTTATGGTGTGTACTTATTTTCCAGCTTTTAAAATTTGTTTTTCAATTTTGAATTCCACTTTGTTTTCCCTTTTATTTTAATTCTTTATTTATAAAACAGTTAAAATAAAAGAATGAATTCTAAGTCCTTGCCTTGAGGGATTTAATATTTATTGAAATAAGTACTTTTGGATCTGAAAACCCTAATATCCTCTGAATATAATCAGTTGATTGAAAACCTCTTAAACATTTTGTTCACTGGGTTGGCTGCGTCAACGGCGTCAGCAGGCGGGTTAGCCGGAGTTGTGGCCTGCGGGCGACGGAGCAGAATCCTGCTCCTCCGACCGACGAACCGTGGGTCGTGCGGGGTCAGTGGGGATGTGGGTGGGTTGGGGATGGATGAGCGGGTGTGTGGGTGTTTGCTGTCGCTGACTTTGCCATTCGGCTGCCCGCATCGAAATCATAACACCAACGAGGCGAAACTTCTGCGGCGCAGCAGTCGTGGCAAATAATAAGCCAGGCCAGCGGAAAGCGGGGGTGGAGTGCCGGGGGCAGGAGCAGTGGCAGTGGCTGTGGCAGTGGCAGGAGCAAAAACAGGAGCGGTGGCAGGAACCAGACGAAGACAACTGTGACAGCGGCAGTAGAAAGGACTATTAGATAAATACGCTTGCTGGTGCGAGTTTTTGGGGGCGCAATGCCGTGGCAACAAAGTTGATGGCTACAAATTGCCAGGGATGTGGGGACACCAGCTACAGCCACAGCCACATCCACTTCCACATCAGCCGGGGCTTAACAAGGTGCGCAACGCATTCCCCGTCGATTCAAACAGTCCAAACAGCCAACAACAAGTGCCCCAAACTGCCAGCCATACAATATGGAAATTCCACATTGCTGCAGTGCCCCTCATCCTCATCCTGATCCTCATCCTCATCCTCGTGACGTGTGTCGGATTCACGGGACAGGGACTCCGACTCCGCGAATATCCAAAACCAATCGAATTTGTACGTAACATAATGCGTCACAAGGTTGGCAGGATAATCGGAGCTTAGCTTAGCTCTTTTTTTCAACCGACGATGAGTGGCACTCACATGGTTGTACCACATTGCGGGTTTTCATATATCAGGAGATATTTCGAAGAATGTGGTTTAAAGAGTTAAGGTTCGGAACTATAAATTGGGATCATTTGATATTTCTTTGAATTGATTTCAATTCAAACAGTCAAATCATTTTAATTCTTTCAACATATCTAAGGGTTCTAATATTTAATTTTAAATATTTAATTTCATACGTAGATACACAGGGTTGTTATGATATCACTTTACCCTAGATAAAAGCCGCATTTCTTTAGCTTTTCATCTTTAGATTTTAATCTTTATGAAACCCATTATGACACTTGCTTAATTTTGGGCTTACTAACTGGATTTATTTAAGGCCCTTGTCGACAATATTTAACCACAAGTTAAACTAGGGTTTCATTAGTTCAGCACTTAAACTTATGGAAGGCTTTGTTTTACTAAATATTAACAGAGTTATTAAAATATAACTTTGAAATAGGGTTTTTTAGGTGAGAATATCTATTTGTCCCCCTTCATTAACAACCCTATTCCCTTGGCTTTTCGGTGATTTAATTAAAATGATAACGGGAGGCAATGCCACCTTATGGTTACGCAGAATTTCAAGTTCCAACACCTGAGCAGAATTTCTTCCCATGCCGAACCCAACCAGATTTCTATGAAATTTTAAGCGCCAATTTTGAAGGGCGGCGAAAACTGGGGAGGATAATGAGCAATTAGCAGCCGCAGCTTAAAGCTGAGGAAAGGCCCCTCACAGAGGGACTCCAAGTGTGAGTCTCCTGGGTCGTTGGCACTCAGCGTGTTGGGTTTTTTATGCGGCTTGGCCAGGTGCAATCAGAGTTGAGCGCACAAACATGGCCGGGGTACAAAGAGCTCTCCAAACTACGCACCATGGATCGGGCTAAACGGGGGAGGGGGGGTTGGATAATGCCGAGGATATAGGATGAGAACTGGCTACCCAATCCACTTGGCGCATGTTGCCAGCTGCCGTTGCCGCCAGCCAAATTACTGAACTGAACCGAACTGAACGATGACTTGAATGCTGCCCTCGCGGGTGGAGATTGGGTGCATGTGGAATGGTGGGTCGTACGGTGGGTGGCTCGGCTGCTCCGTGGGTCTGGGCCAGTCATGTGGTGCTGGCACACACATAAATCGTTTATAGCCACACCGAGACCAGGCAGTCCGCCACCAGCGTCATCATCGTCATCGCTAAAAGCCCTGCCACGACCCTGGTTCTGGGCTCCAGTTGTACGGCTTTGCCTCTCCGGCTTTCCACGCCACTCCACCGCGCCCCTTCCCATACATGCCCATCCATTTCGCCTTCTGTTCTGCCGAACCCCAGTAGCTGCCGATGTTTCTGGTCGACTTGACAGGCCCCACTGCCACTGCCACGTCCCCAGAGCCACCACCATCACCACCACTTCCACCTCCACCACCTCGGATAACCTCCAACCACCACCCACCCAGACGTGCGGGAGAAGTGGCAGTGTAACAGCCGGCAGCAGGCCACATGCAACCTTCGGCCACGGCTCGCTGACTGTGGGAAATGCCCTACCCGCGATGAGAGGCTACACTGAACCAAAAGTACCCCACATAATATATTTCACAGAATAATAAGCATGGTATGTGAAATGGGGGTCTTTTATTTGTTGCTTAAGTTTAAAGTTAAGATTACGTGTCAAAAAATTTACAAATGTAATATTTTAAATTTCTGATTCTATGTGCTAAAGATAAATGTGGAAATTAATAAAAAAAACTGTAAATTGTATCATACGAGTATGAAGTTATAAAATAAATTGTACGGTAAATAATATTTAAATATTTTAGGAAGACCAATAAAATAGTTAGTTAGGACTACGCGTCAAACAAATGAAAACTTTCTAAGTCTAGTTTCTAAGTACATAACATAAATAATAGATAATAGAAATAAATATAAGTATAATTTTACCAATAAAGTATATCTTGTTTTAATAGAATGAAAAAAATTAAAAGCAGAATTTTTATTGATATAGCATTATGTGCTTATAAAATTAATATTTATTTATATGGAATGAAAAAAAAAAATGTTATGGTAAGTAATGATTAGTCATTTTATGATCGATCACCATCTAAAATAGTTAATATTTGATAAATCGTAAATTTATGATTCGTTTTAGTTAAAATAAACAATGAAATTAACCTAAGGATATCAAATGATATTACTAACACCTTAAAACTTTATTTTAAGTTACGAATTGAATTCATTGATATTATTTGGTGCTTGTGATCTGCAAATAAACATTTTCCCTTACCTTTTTTGGATCACACAAATGATATCCTACTGATTCGGAAATCTTTAATAAATTGTATTCAGGCTTGTGGGCTACCTTTTGCTCCTGTGTATTACCTCCAACTGGTAGCTGGAGTCAAAGGTATAAAAGGCAAGTTAAGCGCAGACAGCAGTGGCAACCGGAGACCAGTAGTCGAGGAGGAGGAGGAGGATGAGCAGGGGGAGCCGGAGCAGGTTGGAGACGGATCTCGTGCCCGGTCCCGGCAACAAAAACAACAATAACAATGCGAAAAGGTATTGGTGGCAAAACAGAACTGAAAATCAAACTGCGGGGAAAAAAGGGAGCAAAAGGACTCGCACACAGACAATCGCACTGGCGCACAGAAGGGAAAGCCCCACAGGAAAAGCTTCGGAAGTGCGCTCCATGCCGCAATGGCAACGGAAGCAGGACAGGACAGCAAGGACGAAAAGGGACGCGGTGGTGCGGCGATGCGGTGGTTTGGTTGTTCAGTGGGTGTGCAAGGCAGTTTGTCAAGTGGCGAAGAGGAAAGGCAGGAGCAGCAGGAGGAGGAGCAGGAGCAGGAGGAGCAGCATGGCAGAGGGCCATGACACGACCTGCTCCTGCCGTTGTGTCGGCTAAAGAGAGAAAAATGACTAAATCAAAAGGAAGTGCGCCACACTGTGCGGTGTAAGAGCACGTACAATACGTACGCCGGAGCTCCACTCCGCCTGTATTAGTCTGTGTCTGTGTCTGTGTCCGTGTGCGCGAGTGTGTGTGTGCTCAAGTGCGAGTGTCTGGGTGGGTGTGCGTGTGTGTGTGTGCTGGCGCGTGCTTCGAAGACCGAAATCATGACGACCCGAAACAACCGACAAGATTGTCGATAACAATATCCCAGGCTGAGCTCAAAAAACACCTTAGGGTTCTAAGAAATATAAATAATATAAAAAAGTATTTTTTACGATCTGTTAATGATATCACTAGGTATTTTAAATGATATATATCTATTAAGAGTCGAAGTTCCCATAAATTCGCATTAAATAAACTCAATATAATTATTGTAACATTTTTGAAAGATATATTTTTTAAACCCAGGTATACAAGAAATTAACCTTCTCTGTCAGAATGATATTTTATGTAATATATGTTTTAAGATTTACCTACGATAATACAGTAGTTTTGGTTATCCTGTTATTAACTAGAATTATTTCAAAGAATACTTTTTCTTTTTAAAAACTATTTTTTTAAACATTGGTTAATAAAATCCTGGTGCAGCGTAGTATATTTCAAGATTGATTTCTAGAAAAAATTTAATCTTAAGGTGCTTGGGGATATAATAACGATTTTAATTTGAAGTGAGAAGGATTTAATTTTCGAAACATTTGTCGGCTGAAGGCTTGGCCGCAATATGGCAGAGGACGAGCGAAACGGCAGACGAGGGACGCAAACAGAGCAGAGAGCAGTGGTGTGAAAAAAATTGAAATTTGCGTGAGTGCTCCAACTGCGGCACTGGATGGTTTGGTTTGGTATAGTATGGTATGGTATGCCATGGCTTGGCATGGCTTGGTTTGGCATGGAAGCTCGACAGCCGGGCATCCTGGCAGCCTGGCTGCCTGGCGCTTGGCTGCCTTCCAATCCCCCGATGTCCCAGTGGGTGTGAGTGGGTGCGGGGTGTGTCTATGTGGGCGGGCATCGTTTGCACTTCAATGCTAATGTTGGCTTGGCAGCGACGTCTGTCGTCGACATTTTCCATGCAGGGCGGAGGATTGGGGGTAAGGGACACAGGCCATGGCCAGGACGCGTGTCGCTTGTTCGTTTTGGGCATTTTTGGGATTGCCAAGGGCAGTGGTGTAAGCTGGGTTTTTTTAAGGGGGGTCTTGAAAGCCAGAAATGTAGTGTAAAAAGATTTAAAAATTAATTTTCTTGGGTAAGGAGTTAAAAGTGAACAGGATTTCTTTAATACCATTCCTCTTACTTAATTTATTCTAGTACTAAGAAAAATAAATTCGCTTTTTAAGAAGTGATGAAAACACTAAATGCTTCTTTGCTTGAATTATTACTTATAATAAAATCTAATTTTGTAAGCTAAACTTTGCAAAAACCCTTGGCCTATATGCAATTTAAAGAAGATCTCTAGGCATTTTGACCAGATCCTTTCCTCATCTTATAATGTCAATGGAATTCGAATGAGCTTTGACTCTGGTTAAACCTCTTTTTAACATATAAAAGATTTCAATGTCATTACTGAAGTTGTATGTTAATATAGAAACTTGAAAAAATTCCAAAATGGTTAAAATAAATATAAAGATTTTTCACTTAAGTCACTAAAGAATTCTTTAACTGCTTCAGTTTTGCCAACTGATTGAATGTCTGATATAGGGAAATGTCGAGGGGGATTTCCTAAATTTTCCTACGCCACTTGGCGGGCATTTCGAGTGAGTCGTGTGTGCTCGAGTTCTACTTGTCAACGGCAACAATGGGCGCGCTGCTGGTCCGACCCTCGAATGTAGGCAACACTTTTTTTATTTTTCCTGCCATCCTTTAAACAAAATTCCTGCAACTTGGCTAGCTGGCAAGAGTTGCATGCAAAAATCCGCAACGAAATAAGAGAAGTGCGACCAATTTTGTCGACTTAATCCCTAATGACACCAACGAACTCACTGTGCTGAAGTTTAGGGCAACAAAATTAAACCAATCACAAAGCACAGCCCCCAATCCAAACAGCGAGAGGATACAAAATTAAACTTTAAAAAAGGTTGCCAACCATTTTTTATTTGTGCAACTTTGACGGCAAGTGCCAAAAGTTTGCCACGTGGTACAGTGGTCTTTTTTTCGAAAAGCAACTTGGGAGAATTTTAATTAATTGCCTTACTAATCGGAATACCCTAAGTAGCTAGCTAACATTTCCTAAGCATTAATACAAAAAGAAACTCCCTCGATACCTTAGGAGGGCAAATATTAACCTGGAACTATTTCAAAATATCTATTGAAAGTTGAAAAATATAAAATATGAATAATAAAGTATATCGTAAATTTCTTAAGAAAAGGAAGAATAAATCCAGTTGATTACCAGACCCTTTGATTACCAGATAGCCCAGATTTCTCAAGTTTAAACTGTGCTCATTTTTGATCGTTAAATAAAATATAGTTACTAACTGATTAAAAAAACTGATGATACCACAGAGCTCTTTAGCTGCCGAGCACCACTGTATGAGTAATTGCGAGTGTGTGGGCGTGTGGGTTTTAAATGCCGTCGAGTTTTCCCAGTGTTTGTGTTGGTTCGGCGGCGCCCTTTTGCGCGTCAATGACTTGCTTCTGCTTTTGCTTTTCCTTTGCTGCCTCCGGCTGCCACATGTCAAGCCCAAGCCCACCTACCGGATGACCCACGAACCCTCGCCCACCGACCTCCATTCGCACCCCACCATTCACCATCCCCAACTCACCACCCACACCCATCGCTGCCTTTCCCATCGAGCACACCGCATTTCGCACACAACTTTTGCCGCATTAAATTTGACGCAAAAAGCACGCGCGCTGGCGGCGTCAAAAGCAGAAAAAAAAGAAGGAAAATTGGGGAGGGCGAGAAAACGAATGAGCGAATATAAACGAGCAGCAGCGCCAGCAACAACAACAAGGACAGCCAGTGGGTCTGAGCTTGGACCCGCCGCCGTCTAAAGTCGTTGTCTGACACCCCCAACCTCGTGCCCACTTCCTGACCCACCACGCCCCATCATCAGCCGTCAGGCATCACCCATCACCCGACACCCAGCCACCCACCAGACCCGCCGACTGCCGGCAAACAAGCGTGACCTGCCACGCAGCAGACCGACTTTGACGCACAGAAACTACACCGCGAGAAAAAGTTTTCGTTTTCAAGGATCGGGGAAGTAACAATTACTACCAGATAGAAACCCTCAGTTTTATGTTAAGTCATTATTGACATGGGATGTTTACATGGTCCTTCGCGCCGGATACCTGTTGAAAATATATCATTGATTTTTGTGTCTTCTACATCCAGAACTTATAGGAAACCAGTTAGGAAATGATTTCGACTTGCCTTCCTGGCTTCCCAATTTATCTCCAATACATTTTCGACCTGAGGTGATTACTTGGTCCCTCGAGCCGGATACCTTTTGAAAAGAACTCATTAAATTTTCTTATTTTCTATCTACCATGTCCTGAACTAATAAAAACCAGTAGGAGAATAACTATAATCTGCCTTTCTTACTTTCCACAGTTTTTCTAAGTCATTTTAAGCCCAAGATGTCTGTGTGATCCTTCCAGCCGGATAACTTTAAAAAAAAAAAAATTAAATTGATCGGAAAATTTGAATTTTTTTTGGTTTTAGGTGGATATAAAAACTTACATGTATCAAAATCTTTAAAATGTAGCCCGAAATACTAGTGATCTGTACTCAGAGCGCCGAATTTTATAAAATTGGGCGTACGCCAGTTAGATATTGATTTTAAGGCGTCTTATTTGAATCCAATATTTTTTCAGTGCATCGCGTGAAGAGAATAAAGTGGGGAGCTCGCAGCTGTGGGATTCGAACTCGGGCTCGAGCTTGGGCGCCAGAGCCAATAGTCAGTCATCAAGGCTGTTTGCGGTCTGCTTTTCGGGGCGCTGTCTGGCTGTATGGGTCTGGATTATATACACACATATTCGTGTAGGAATAAACACCCATGTAAATGTAAAAGTGTGTCTCGTTGTGTGAGCATTTGTATAGAATGGTACCAAAAAAAAAAAAAAGAAAGGAAAGACAGAAAAGAAATGGAAAAGCAACAACCAGCTACCCAAAAAAAAAAAGGTTCAACTGACGACCGTCAGAAATATTTTATGGTTTCGCTTTTGGCACCTCTCTCTTCACCTTCATCGCGTTTCCATATTGATTTGCCACTTTTGCATTTACATTTTTCATTTTCATTTGCCACTTTTACATTCACATTTTTCAGAAAACCGCTTCGCCACAAGAACGGAATTCATAGAAACGATGGAGGCGCCATCATCCAGTGGTAATTGCGAAATAATTGCCGAGACGTTGGAAACGTTGTCTCCCCCAATTTGTACTCCTCCCTCTGCTCCTTTTTGGGGCGTGGCGGCGTCTTTAAGTTGTTGACTTCGAGTTCAAACACAAATCCGCAAACATTCGTGCCGGTTCCCCCAGCTCCACCAGCTCACCCGGCTCCCCTTGGCCATTAATTGGTGGCGTGTTAGGAAGTTAAGCTCCTGCTGCTGCTGCTCCTCTGCTTCACTGAGTCCTGTCATTACCCCCGGAGCTAGATGTCGGAGCGTAGCA